AAATCCAAGAAAAACAATGCTTTCATTTCATCATCCATCTTTGGCTCCATAATAGTCATTCAATTAAATGTCTTGAAAATCATTTTAAGTGCTCTGTAATCGATCGTCCATTCATGTATTGTAAAGTTGTAAGCTTTTTAACAAGCATAACTTTATTCATACTTATTTTTTTTCTCATAGTAGTCAACTTTTTTTTGCCTATTTTCTTTCAGTTTCATCTTTCATATTTGCTAGTTTAGCCGAATTACTTAATACCGGCTCATACAAATCTTTACAGTATAAATGACTTCCATCAAAGGCTTCTAAATTGAATAATTTGATGCTATCAATTTTATTATGGAATTTGTATCACTTTTCATGATCTCAAACAGAATTTACTTCTGTCTTGGGCTATTTCTATATCGTTATCTCAAAATAACCTTCGTTTTAATACCACTTGTTAAGCCTGAAGCAATAAACACAACAATGCAGAAGTAATATATCACAATAAACCCACAGCAATAGGCAACAATCAACAATACAAAATATAAAAAAAATAAAGCATATCAAGATTTACATGAAAAATCTTCTAATGTAGAGAGAAAAATCACAGACTATCAGAAAAATCTTTACTATCAAATAATAGATATATAAAGTTTTTTTTAGCTAAAACTAGAGCTAATCAACAACTAGAGAGATAATTGAAAAAATTTTACCAAATAAGTAACTCAACAGATACACACTGAACTTGTTCCTAGAGAGCTTCAAACTCAATTTTCACCGTTCAAAATGTAAAACTCGAAATCATAAACCTGCTGATAAAGCTTCAGCTCAATCGAATCACGGATCGACTTCTATTCATCCAATTTTCCTTTCTTTTTTTTCTCTCTATTTTTTTTGGCTTTTCTTCGTTCTCTTCTTGGCTTTTGTAACTCCACCTTAAAATAGTCTCACCTTTTTTTATTAAGTAGCTAGAGCTTTGTGTAAAAAGAAAGATCAAAGCCCATGGCCTTTGATTGGTCCAAAACCAATTACATAGGGCTGAACCCTATTTTCATAACAACCTTTTGATTACAAAATCACTCAATTGAAATGTAAACTAGAAAACCTATCAAAGGCTAAGTGTTTGCCTAATGAAGCACAAGGATATTGATGAATTAATACAACAAAGATGGCTTGGATACAACAAATATGGACTTTTGACTCTAAAACTCTTGATTTTTTTAAGAGAATGAAAATATGACTTGTTAATGCTTGCTTTCTTGTTTCTTCAACCTTCTTGGTATGTTGGAATTCTCAATTTATAGAGGAATTGAGAAACTAGGCGTTAGAGAAGCTTGGGAAATGAAAACACATGATTTTTTTCTTTTGAAACTAGTCGTCGGAGCTTGTTTGGGATGAAAGGATTGATTGGTTTTGATAGGGAATCGACTGGTTCTTGAATTTCACTAAGTTTTTTATCGTTACAGCTGAGGGATCGATTGGTTTTGGTACCCGATCGATTGGGTCAGCTAGATTTTGGATGCTGAATTATTCTAGATGAATAGTGCCACTAGTTGTCGCTTGTTTTGTAGTCTACTCACTAATTTGATCATATCTTAAGTTATACAAGTTTAAATCAAAAATTGATTGAACATTTAGAAACTAGACTTAAAGAATTTTTTATTCATGATAAAGTTCATCATCTAATCATTGTATTCAAATTATAATAAATTTTCAAAACTATCTCTTGTACAGTTTTTAGACAATCATATAGTGTTTAGTAAAAATTTAAAATTTTTTCTTAGAAAATTTGAATTTTAATTTTATTTGATCCTTAGAAAGTAAATTCAAAGAGCATTCCAACAATATAAAATTTAAATATTAAAATTTTATGAATTAATACAAAAAAAAATAAATAAGTTCAATATTAAAAATTTTATTCTAGTAAAACAACTTTTATAAAGTTAATCAATATTATAAAATTGTATTGAGTTCAAAATGAATAAGTTTACTTTAAAATAAATAATTGGACTTTCATTTAAGTTCAAATAAATAATGTTTAAAGAATATTTTGATTTGAGAAATAAAGAAATATAAAAAAAATTTGTTTACACTTTGAAAAATATATTATTTATTTAGTACAAAAAATAATAAAATTTAAAAGCATGTATTAAATAAATTCTTTTAAAAATCTTAATTAAGTTTATTTAGTTTAATTTTTTATTTTAAAATAAGGATCAATTTAAGTAAGTTCACATTATAAACCTTTACCGTAAGCAGGAGCTAGCCGTATATGTTTAACATTTTTAGATAATTTTCATGATTGTTATAGATCGTTTTTTTGTTTCAAGAACTAAATTGCTCAACCAGTATAGAACATAATAAACAGATTCATTGCCTTAAATCAAATATTAACTTTTTACGTGATTCGAATAGCACGTAAAATCTAGATGTCATGTCTATCCTTGATTGCTCCTCCCTGTCATATAACCATAACAGCCATGTTACTCTTCGTGTCAAACAATGGAAGCTAAAAAATAAGAAAAAGTTAAGCTAATCTTTCGTCCTAAATATTTACTTATTGTAGTAATTCCATGATATACTAAGTATAAAGTTTTAAAGTACACTTTTGAGTAACATATAAACATTTAAATAAATACATTAGAGAAGCAGGTGTAGTTCTAGCTTCCCATACGCAACATAGAATAATGACTATACAAAATTTAGGAAATATAACTTATTGGTTCCAACGTTTAAATGTTTAAGTATCATCTTCAGATGTTAAAGTCAAGTATTATTAGCACTTAAGATACAACAGAGATATTCTCTCCTTTGCTTCAAATCATAATATCATTATGAAAATATCATTGTTTTTAAAACTATTACCTTTAACGGCTAAGGCAACCTGCCATTTCATCAATATTTTCAAAAATATTACTATTAATTAAAAAAAAAAAACCAAAATCAAATAGAAAACTAAAATTATCACTTAGATCATTTTTCTTTTACAAATACAAAAAAGAAAAGCTAAAGTAAGATCCTAAATATTTTTCATTAAAAATAAGTAAAAAACGAATCCAAAGTTTGGATCGATCGAAAATAGGCTCTAGTTGGTTGGATCTAATAAAAATAGCAACAAAAGTTTGGGAAACTAAATTGGGTACCTTTCTTTAATGGGTTGCGATCGATCAACTCCTTAATGACTGTTGCGAATTGCTAAAACTTAAGCCTGTAGAAAAAAATCCTTTTGGTGATCGATGATACCAAAAAGTGAGAAATTATCGTGGCAACCCAAAAAATCAAAGAAGGGTTTAAATTTTTTTTTTATTCTATCAAATTTTTTTTTGTCTTACCATTAACTACTCTTTCTTTTAAGATCAAACTCTTTAACCAACTCTGTCTTTCTTCACACAATTATAATGATTAAAAAAGCAGAGGAAAGGACAAATGGTGACACGCAACACAATGGTTAATGGTCAAAGTTGAGATGAAATTAGTAAAATTAAAAGTATGATTTTTATTAAAAGATAAAAAATTAAAAATAAATATAAATATAGTAATTTGTATCTTTTTAAATTAATTTAATTTTTATATAAATTAAAAAATATGATTTGATTATATTTTGACAAATTTAAATATGATACAATGAAATTATATTAAAACGATACGAAAAAAACGTATATGAGTTTTAGAAATATATTTTTTATATTTAGTATGTCAATAAGTGTAAGACACAAAAAATATATTTAATTAAACTGTGTTATATGATTACACATAATAAACACAGGAAACATATTTGTCACATTTGATACAATTAATAGTTTTTTATATTTATTTTAATTTAATATAAATATATAAAAATTATTTTAAAGTTTTAATTATAATACACAATTACATATTTAATATAATTATATAAAAATTATTTTAAATATTTATTTATAATGGACATTTAATATGCAATTATTTTTAATTTTAATAATATAATTACAATATAAATAATGACTTTAGTATAATTGTACATCATTATTCAATAGCTTATTATTTTGAATTTTATTAATTGTAACTCAATAGATAATTTATTTTAAGTTACATGATTAAAAATTCATAATATAATTATATTATAAACATGATATATATACAGAAATCAATGGCTTGTTTTATATATTTTAATTTATTCTAATTCATATGATAGTTGATACTTATGTATAATTATAAAAGATTATATAATTTATTCTAAATGATATATTGATATGTATACCTATGAAAATTAAAAATATATAATTTATTTTAAATCATATTATAAATTATAAAAAAAATTATAAATAACATAACATATATAAAAATTATATTAGTTTGATATTAAAAATATATATTAATTTAATATTTTCAATAACTTTTATAAGTTATCATTTATATTATATTTATTTGTATTATTTTTAATAAATTAATGTTTTAAAATAAAATTATACTTAATTTAATGTCGAATTATTTTGAATTAATTTTTGTATCATTTTGGATTTGGATCATTTCAGTTCGAGTTATTTCAGCTTCGGATTATTTTGATTCAAATTGGACAGGTTGGGATTATTATTTTTTATAATCAAATTGAGTTGAGTCGAATTCAGGTGAGTTGAATGAATTTTTTGAGTTCAAATCAGAATTGACAAATCTATGAGAATGAATATACTCATGTAAAAATAACTAATTTATATTTAATACAGCTATGCATGTAAGAATTCACTATTTCTTTAATTATTTCACATTAAAAATAAAATGCACACTTGAGAAATTAAACCACAAATTTGAAAATTGGACTTTGAATGATATTCAGGAAACCAAAACTCACCACATAAAGGGGATCAAATGTGAGTCAAGTTAATGGCAAAATTGAAACCTCCATCAAGCCCCAAAACTGTAGTATGTAGAAAAAAGAAACAAGAAGAAATCAGGATTTAACATGCTATCATATATATATATATATATATATATATCATGTGATTTTATTGATGATAATTCCGTTTCTTAATTATAATTTGAAGGTCCAACAAGGCGTGGGCTTTCATACAGCAGGAAATGATGACGAGGTATGATAATTGCTTATAATTGTGTTGAATGGATTTGTTTTGAGATATCTGCAAAGATTTTTATTACTTTTGAGAGTATCTTTTAGACATTTTTACTTAAATAGTATCTTTACATGTTTATTAATGTTATCACATGCATTTTTTTTTTTACTTAATTACAATATTTTTCTTTTAACTCCAGACTTGTGAAATATATATCCCAAAATTATTTATTTCAGTTCGATGTTACGGATGTTTTGGAACTCGATGAATTAGACACTCCGTTGTCTAATGAACTGGAAAATCCAAAGAATTTTCAGACTATCCAGAAAAGTACCATGAGTGACTTTCTGAAGAAAATTGATGACGATGTTGCAAGCAGCATTGATTTCCCTGACTTTATGGTATGCTTTGGCGGGGAGCACAAAAAAATTGGCAGATATAGTTTCCCATCGTCTTTAGTTTCTACCGTGGAAAGAATCACCAAGGTCTATGGTGATGTTTCTGCTGCGTGTTTAATGAACTCAAGTGTTACGGAGAAAATCTATCTATTTTTCTGTGCTACAATTAAAGAGATGGAGGATCTAAAGCTTCAACAAGTTACAGAGGAAAAACTGTTGAAATGGAGGGATGCTATTAAGGATGCTCTTCGCATCAATTTCAAAGTCGATTTTGCTATGCACCATTTGAAGAGAATCGCTCGTGCTTATTTTGGCTTCATAGGAAGCCAAGAGCTTCAGAGCATGGATGACAAATTGGATGCCTTGAAAAAGGAGCGTGTGGAGACGTACCAGGATTTCAAAGACTATATTGCTTATGCAAAAGACTTCTATGGCAAGTCTGTCAGCACTGGTTTATTCCCTTGATCCTTCCAGTTCTCCGGCACCAAGAACTTTCTACATTTCTAGCTATTTCGGGTGTTGGTTCTTTAATTTTGGGCCCTTTTTTTTTTTTTCCCTCTTATCTGGTTTATGAAGTTGTTCATGCGAGATGGACTAATTTCTCTCAAGGTTCTGATGTTAAGGAGTTTTCTAGATTACGGTCGTTACCTGAAAACAGTACGGTTTACTCACCTTGCCGTACTGTGTTTTATGTGCGAGGCGTAACATGGTTTAACTCTTTTAACATTTGATTAGTTGGATACGGTCGTGAGGAGACGGACTCTCATCTGATGTTTGTGTCGCTATAGGAGTCATTCAAGATGGGCCACGTACCAATTAGACTCTCACCACGCATCCAACAAAGTGGCCTATTGTCAGAGGTCTAAAATAAAACCCTATTTGTGAACCCTAACTTAAAACTAAAGTTTTTTAGCGTTAAGGGATCAAGAATACGTTTTATCTGATCGCCAACAGATACATTCATCTTTTGTGAAAAGTACAATGGTTTGCTTTGTATTGCATGTTTGGGTATTGCTATTCCAACTTTGACCTCTATCGTATGATAATAACAATGGCCTTTTGAGTTTGCAGACAACAGTATGAATTTTGATCTCTATATTAATTATTGAAATCCAAGATTTTCATGCATGCTATGCCAATTACATTTTTATCTTCGTTGGAGATTAATCTTTATCATTCTATACTATTTTGCATCCATTTGCTGGATTGAGCTCCTTTTTATTTTTGGGTCAATTATTTTTTAATATTTTCATTATCACCATTTATATGTGTACGTTAGATTCAAATTGAAATTATGAAAGTCATACCAATGATGATTTAAGATATATTGAAAGGTAATGAACAAAATATAATGATGTCATCAGAAGGGAGAGGATAATTGAAGCCAAAATAGAATGAACAAAATGGAGCAAATAAATATGTAAAAACTTATTTTCTACAATGGTCTTGACGATTTTTATCTGTTTTGATGAAATAAAGCTTGCTTTGCTTATATCATGTAAAATTTTAGATTTCGAATTTAACATAAAACTCATGACCAGCTCCTAAGGTTTTCTCCGTCTGGACCATTTGTTGGAGGTTACTGGGCTTCAATTTTTGGTTTAGTGGAAACGTTATTTTGGGTTTCAAGGTGAATGTTTTGTTTAGATATAATTTTTTTACTTTTTTATTTTGTTTTTTATTAGTATGTTTTACATTGTGTCAATAATATTTTTAAAAAATATCAATAAATGGTTGATTCAATCGGTTAATGTTGTTTTCCTCAATTAAGAGGTCTTAGGTTCAAATTCTACCGATAGTCATTTATTAGAGTCATATCGAATACACGACCTGTAGTCACATGTCTTAAGCTGTTAGGTACGATACATTTTGTTCTTACTTGAGAGACTAAGCAACCTATCTATCTCTTAATTTTTCTTATCAAAAAAAAATATTTTAAAAAAATATAATTAAAATAAATAATAATGCTTATGAAAATAAAATTTTTTAAAAAACTTTTTATCATTGGTATTTATTTTTATTTTTGTGAAAACTCTTATTGTAGAATGTGAAAAAAAAATTAAATGACTTTTTGATGATGAGACTCCAAAAAATTTGGATAGTAATTTTTTAAAATTCCTTAAGTGAGAAAATTTTTTTTAAAAAAATTATCAAAAAATTAAAATATTTAGAATAATTCTCAATACGAAAAATTCTTATTTATTTTTCACTTCTAAAAGTGAACTTTTATATAATGTAATAGTATCACAAATTAATCAATGTACATCATATTAAAAATATATATAATAAATAAAATCTCTGAAAATGAGATCCTAAAGAAATCTAAATAGTGATTTTTAAATAATCTTTATATAATAAAATTTATCTAAAATATCGTCAATATATTGAAGCATTTATAATAATTTTCAATAAAAATTTCTCTTTTTTTAATAAATAGAATAAAAAATAAAATTTTTTTAATATTATTGAGATTAAATTATAGTTATTGTATTTTATTACATATATAAATCTTGAAGATAAATATGAACAGCCAAAATGAGATATTTGAAAAATTCGATTAATGATTTTCGAGAAATTTTTATGTGAGAAATTTTTTTTAAATGTTACTAATGTATTGGGTTATTTTAAGATTTTTTTTCAATAACAAGGTTTTAGAATTTTTCTAGAATAAACTAGAATAATAAAAAATTATTAAAATTATTACAATAAAAAAATTAAAAAAATTAATTTTAAAAACTAAAATTAAGATCTTTTTAGTCAAAATTAAAGAATAAAACATAATTAATTTGTATCGTTTTAGATTGACACTGTGAGAATGTTAATCATTCTATATGCATAATCGACTTTTGAATTCAAACTATTTTTATAAACCTCAAAAATTATTTTTTGATAAGTTTTAATTAATTTTTAATTTTTATTAAAATAATAAATTTCAATAAAAAATTAATCATACCTAATTAAAAAAATTTTATAAGTTTTTTTAATTTTTAAAATTATTTAACGATCTCTAAAAGTCTTTACAATATCTTATTTTATCTGTTATAAAAATAGTTTTTATCTCACTCTATGAATGTTTTCCTTACATTTAGCAGTAAAAGTGAATCCTAAAAGGATTTAAGATAAAAGTGAAAGTGTAGGAGTTTTCAAATTCAGATTTGGTCACACAAGAATAGCAAATTTTGCACAATTACGAGTGAGTGATACCAATATAACGAATTTTAACATTTATAGTTTTAGACTTAATTTTCCCTAAAGCAAGCAAAAATAAGTTCAAAGAAGAATCAATTTCTCCATCTCCACAAAATCATAGTACTAACAGCAAACATAGTACTCTTTTGTTTTTTTTTTTTAAAAAAAAGGCTTTGCGATGAAGTATCCTTAGGAAACAATATGAAAAAGGGTTAAAGATTCCAGCACATTCGGCAACGCGGAATGGAGGCTAAAAACGTTCGATCACTTGAGGCTATCGTGCGATTGAAATGTAATAATGCACCAGACACTGTTAAACAAAAAGGATTGCGCTTTTTTCTCGCCATCTACGATCTAACGGTTCCAATAATCTTCGTGGGGCCTAATCGGATGGTTCAAGTTCAACAGCAAGTCTTTTCTGAGTCTTGACTTTTTTGTCGTTGGAAGTCTTTTGATTCCTTTAAGATTTTACTTAATTTGCAAGTTGTTACTGATCAGAAGAGTAAAGGGTAGTGGAGCTTGATTTTAGGATTCTGAAGCAGGTAAGTGTTTGATTTTCCTTGTTCTTGTTAAATCAGCTTCTCAGGTAAGTGTTTGATTTTTCTTGTTCGTGTTAAATTAGCTTCTTTTATAGAAATGAACCAAAGTTGAATCAGTTTCTTCTCTTTTCCTTTTTTTTTTTTTTCCTTCCATTCTATGGAGATTATCTATACCCATTCTTTGTTGATTTCATCTCTTTTTCTGCATTTCCCTGCTTTTATGGGTAGAGTTGACTTAAAGTTGACCTTTAGTTGACTCACTTCCTGGTTAATCATCCATGATCTTTCTCTTTTTTATTCTGCAAAAAGATTAATGGGATTATTTATTATGATTTTTTTTGCAAAATCAATCAATTGTCTAAATTAAATATTTTAATTTAATTTTATAGCAATAACCAAAGTAATTGGAACAATTTGGCTCAGGGATGCATCAACAAATAGCTCAATCTGAAGCTTCAAACCGACCACACCCAAGAGTTTTTCAAAGGGGAAAAAATAAGAGAAAAAATAATGCAAGGTCTTGGCAAAAAAAGAAGATAAAGAGATCTCTTTCTCTGTTTCTCTATGCTGTATTTTTTTTTTCTTTTAGCATATAGTTATAACTATAAATCAATAAAATATCATAACATTTCCATTAATGTGATTTGATGCTTCTCTCCTCTGCTTTTATTGTAGCTTTCTATTGTGCAAATATTATACTGAATGTTGAAAGCAAATGCTTGTAGATGGAGTATGCAAGTCTAGCTGCGGAAAATAGACACTTGAAAGGCATAATTGAGGGGATGATTTCCAATTACTTGAAAGTTCCTGGCAAAAATTTTCAGAAACATGAAAATTATGTTTCCCACTCAACCGGCCACAATGATCTTCAAAGCTTTTATGCCCAGGTAACTAATCTTAGCTTATTGGTAGGGACTGATTAAATTTTATTTCACTCTTTGATTCTGTTTTGTCCATAGCCTTAAATCAATAATCATTTAAAACTAATAACAAATGCACATCAAGATTTATTGAATTTTTCCATGTTTGCGAATACAAACTTGGGAGAGCGGTAAATTCCACTTATGATCCCTAACTTTTTTTTTTTTTTTCTGGATTTTTGTTTAACGAGAATCATTTGAATCGGATCATTTAGATCCTAACTTTTCTAAATGGTTATATTTTGCTTTTTTGTCAAATTCTTCTGTTAAAACTAACCTAATGTCCATATTGTAGATTATGTGATATGTCATTGTCACGTGGACAATTTTTTTGGCATTCCTTGCGTGCATGTTTTTCAATTGTCAACAAAATAATGTAATGAAATTATCAAAATAAAATCATTATGAAACATCAAACAAATAGAATAGTTAAAGAATTATTAATATTAAAATAGAACTAGAATATATAAAAAGTTAGGGATTATGAATGTATTTACTCCTTGAGTGAATAAATTTGATTTGATTTGTTATGTAAATTGTGAAGATGTAAATCTGTCAATTGGGCGAGTTGGGTTAGGTTTAGATTGCGTTAATTTAGTTGGGGTCATTTTGGGTCTTAAAAAATTGGGTTAATTTTGGACTGGGTCATTTTAGTTTTTAGTTATTTTGAGTTCGAGTCATTTTTGGTTCAAACCAATTCAATTTTGGGTCATTTCAATTTAGTTGTTTCGTATTTGACACTTGGGTTATTTGGATTTAAATCATTTGAGCTCGAGTCATTTCGAATGCAATTTATTGATTTTTAGAATTAAAATAAATTAAATTTAAATAGATTATTTAATCAAGTTTGAGTAAAATATATCTCAAGCAAATAAGCATTAAACACAATATCAACAGGCATGAGGAATATGTTAAAATCATACATTCAAGAGAAAAAAAATAAATCATACTCAATTCAAGCTTACATATATTAAATAAAATTGGTATATTCAAGATATATCAACAAAGCATATATCAATATCCATTAAGCACTCAATGTTTAACAAGAATAGGCAACTAATTTCATGTTCACTTAAAATAAGTTTAAAGGTTACTCCTCTCCATTGTGTGTCTAGAGTATTCAATCTTCAATCTCACATTATAGTTTCTTGCTCTAGTGCACCCACAAAAGACATTCTTCATTTAATTTTTGGTATTCAAATTGCTTTGGGTCCTTGAGAGTTAGTGACTAACTCTCTTGTTCTTTTAGAATCTATATTTGCCTAATTCTAAATGGAACTTTTCTCTTTATAGGACAAATATGTGTGGTATGATGATAAAAATTACAAAAATTATATTTAATCATTTTAATACTTGAATTATTAACACTCTTATGTTTTTAATTCATCAACTCATGAAATTCCATTCTCAATTTTAAATTCTCATTTTCTAACATTTCATTCTTCTTTTGGCAAGCTTCAAATTTCATTTTCAATTATTCATTTTCTTTTTCCAAATCATTCTTTGTATTCATTAAAAATTTATTTTCAACTTATAATTTTGAAATCATTTTTTTATGTTTCAAGTACATTTTCAAACTCAATTACTAAATTATTGTATTCATCTTGTAACTTATGAAAATTATATTCATTTGAATTAATAGAATTAGAAGTTATCTCCGGTTCTTCAATAGCCATGAGACATGATGCATATTGGTTGAAAATTTATCATTCATATAGCTTATCCAACTTCCTCCATATCTCATTAGAGGTTGAACAATTTGAAACCAAGTTGAAGTTATGAGAGTTAAGAGCTTCATAGAGTAAACACTTGGCTTTAGCTTCATTCATCACTTGCTTCAAATAGTTTGCATCATTTGAAGGAGTTCAGAGCACTCTTTTTATCATTAATCAAGCTTCAAAATTTTGTAACATGATGAACACCTTCATTCTTATTTTTCATTTACAAAATTTAAAATTTTCGATCATGGGAGCTTTGAAGACTCCCTTACCATTTTGGATCTTAAAATAAACTATAAGATTTTTACTCAAAATGGTTAAATCTACAACAAGAGACCAAAACTCTAATACTAATTGTTAGCTTTTTAGGTGAGATGATAATCCAAGATGGGAGAATTGGATTTCTTTAAATACTTTTTAAATAACGATTTCTAAATAATTGAATGAAGAATTAAAACAATAAGCTCTTTAATGAAAAATATGTTGCAAACAACAACAATTAATAAGCCTATAAACAAATATAAACAATAATAAGGAATAGAAAGATCAAACACAAAGTTTTATAGAGGTGTATGCCTTCTCCTCAAGGCACTTACGTCTTTTCTCTTGATTATCCTCACCAAGGCTTCAATCCACTAATTGAAGAAAGATTACAACTCTGATCTTTTTTGTAAGGCTTAGATAGCAACTTGACACTATTTTTTAGGATAAGCAACATCTCAATCTCACAAATACAAGAAGATATCTTACCTCTTGATTACAAAATCATGTAATGGAAATGTAAACTAGAATACCTCTCAAAATCTAAGTGTTTGCCTAATAAAGCACAAGGATATTGATGAATTAATACAACAAAGATGGCTTGAATACAATAAATATGAAATTTTGACTCTAAAACTCTTGATTTCTTTGAGAGAATGAAAATATAACTTGTTAGTGCTTGCTTTCATGTTTTTTCAACCTTTTTGGTGTGTTGGAATGCTTAATTTATAGAAGAATTAAGGAACTACCGTTTAAGAAGCTTGAAAAATGAAAACACATGATTTTTTTCTTTAAAACTAGCCGTTGGAGCTTGTTTGGGACGAAGGGATCAATTGGTTTTGATAAGGAATCAATTGGTTTTTGAATTTTATTTTTTTCACTGTTACAGCTGAGGGGATCGATTGGTTTTGATACCTAATCGATTAGGTCAGCCAAATTTTAGATACTGAATTATTCTAGATAAACATTGCCACTGGTTGTTTTTTATTTTGTACTCTACTTGTTAATTGGATCATATCTTGAGTTATGCGACTTTAAATCAAAAACTGTTTGAAGATTTAGAAAGTAAACATAAAGGATTTTTTATCTATATAAAACTTATCATCTAATTCATTGATTCAAATTATAGTAAATTTTTAAAACTATCTCTTGTGTAGTTTTTAAACAATTGCATAGTGTTTAGTAAAAATTTAAAATATTTTCTTAAAAAATATGAATTTTGATTTTGTTTGATCTATTGGAAAGTACTCAAAAAGCTTTCCAATAGTATAAAATTTATGGGAAAATATTTATTTATAACTGGTTGTAATCTTATAATCTATGTATTTATATTTGTATCTCTAAATTTAAGTATTTGTATCCCTAGAATTAAAGACAAAAAATTATGATAGACAATCTCTCAATTATAAGATCAATTTTTAAGAAGATTTAGATTCCTAATTTAACTCTTATTTAGTTGTATATAAACCTAAGGTTCTTGTATAATTATTAATAAACAGTTTTTCAATATATATTTAGTTTTACTTTTAGTTTTTCATACAGTTTTATTTTTTAATTTTTTCACATGGTATCAGGGCTTTTAGGCTTTTATTGAGAAGTAAAATTTTCAGCCTTTATTGCTTACTTTTATTTTAGGCCTTCATTGTTGAACGCGGTTTAGACCTTCATTATTGAACCCTGTTAAGGCCTTCATAGTCATTCTATTTTTTCATTATTTAGCCTTCATTGCTAAAAGTCATTTTTGGTTATATCTTAAGACTTATTTCAGTTCAAATAAATATATCACTATCATCAAATTTGAGAAAGTGTCAACTAAAAAAATCATCAGAGTACTATAGATGTCTTGAAAATAAAGAGAGTTCGATAGAAAAGAGATTGAAAAGTTGAGAAACCTATTGAAAACCTTTAAAAAATTTATTGTGGTATGTTCATTGGGTAAGATCTCTAGTTCAGGTAAAGCTTCTGATTTTCATGAATTAAATGTCTCGGTTAAGCTTATTACGAGTTTTTTTATCATTGACTCAAGAGTGACAGACCATATAATACATTTCACAAAAATTTAGTGCATATATCCTGTGTCCTAGTAATAAAAAAATTGTTGTTGCAAATGGTTCACTTATTACAGTGACAGGATTAGGAGATGTTTAAGTTAATCTCTCGTTTGTTCTAAAAAATGTTCTTCATGTTCCTAGATTGTCTATTAATCTGATAGCTATATAAAAACTTATCAAATATATGAATTGCAAAATTATTTTTTATCCCTCTTATTATGAATTTCGAGACTAGAGTTCAGAGAAGAGGATTGGACTTGTTAAGGAGAATAATGAACTATACTATCTTGAGAAATCAAATAACATAAGTAATATTAAAAATAGTTTACTTTTGTCATTTTTTTCTAAAAATTTTTTAATAAAGATAAAATCTGGCTTTATCATTTTTGTCTTGGATATCTTTCTTTTGAAACTTTGAGAAACATGTTTCCTTCTTTGTTCAAAGGATTAAATGTTGAAGATTTTCATCGTGATGTTTATGAACTTGTAAAACACAGATGTATCTTTTTCAATTAGTAACAAAAGAAGTTTTACTCCCTTTTACTTGATTTATAATGACATTTTGGGTCCCTTTACAGTTCTTAACATTTTTGGTGCAAAATAGTTTATTTCATTCATAAATGATTGTATCATAGTTTTTTAAGTTTTTTTTAGTTAAATTCAAATCAGATGTGAATAATGTGTTTTTAAGCTTTCAAAACATGATCTAGAATCAATTTGGAATGAAAATCAAGAGATATAAGCCTGATAATGCAAAAGATTATTTTAATCAGAGTCTATCCACTTATTTTCAAAAGGAATAGATTATTCATGAGTGATCTTGTGTTAATACTTCACAACAGAATGGAGTGACAGAGAAAAAATAGTCATTTACTAGTCACAATTCAAGCCTTCTTTTTTCAAGCAAATGTATCCAAATCTTATTGGAAAAAAACTG